CGACCTCAATGATATCCGATCAATATGGATGATATAATTAGTGTTACTTGGGTACATTGTTATCTGCAGTGCAGAGTGCGTATTGTAGTTCTATCTGATATCCGAGTCCATAAATGGATAGACAACACTATGCCGGGCTGAGGAAGAGGACGATCCTAACTTTCCATAAAATTCCTCCGCATGACAGTGACTGTTAGAACCTCTGGGTAAACCAAAGACATTGATTATTCATTGACAGTATTCATATCCTTCTAAAAGTGTGGTAGAAATTTTACAGAACGTGGTCTCCAAACAGGTAAATGCATGTATGGGTTATGAATAATCTGTCTGTCTCTTTTTCAGATTGGTCTAAGGTTGAGAGTGGAGTGCCTCAGGGTTCTGTGCTAAGCCCCATACTGTTTAACCTGTTAAACTGTTTATTAATTATATTCGGAAGGTTGTTAACAGCCATGTTTCCGTGTTTGCTGATGATACTAAAATCGGGAGGGTAAAAGACACGGACTTAGACACTATAACATTACGGGAGGACCTGGATAAAATAGGGGAGTGGGCAACTATATGGCAGATGAGGTTTAATGTTGAAAAATGTAAAGTAATGCATTTTGGGGTTAGAAATACACAAGAAGAAGACATTTTAATGGGAACTCCACTAGGGAAGTTAGAAATGGAAAAAGATCTGGGGGTCATTGTAGACCACAGATTGAACAATAGCTTGCAATGCCAGGCTGCGGTAAACAAAGCAAATAGAGTCCTGTCTTGTATTACAAAGGGAATGTACTGTAGAGACAAATCTATAATTTTGACACTTTATAGATCGCTGGTTCGGCCTCATCTGGAGTATGCCGTCCAGTTTTCGTCACCAATCCACAGAAAGGATGTCCGTGAGCTGGAGAGAGTCCAGAGAAGGGCAACTAAACTAATTAAGGGGCTGGAGGACCTAAGCTATGAGACAAGGTTGCTAAAAGTAAACTTGTTCACTCTGGAAGTGAGACGATTAAGGGGGGACATGATTTTGATGTGCGAGATGTTCAATGGTGATAGCAACATCAGCAATAAACGTTTTACAGTAAACTACATAACAAGGACTAGAGGCCACCACCTAAAACTGGTGGAGAAAAGATTTAACCACAAGGGGCTTCTTCTCGGTCAGAGTGGCTAAAGTCTGGAACTCTCTTCCACAAGCAGTGGTATTAGCGGAGAGTATTGAATCATTCAAAAATCAATCAGATACCTTCCTCAGAGACCGTGACATACAGGGGTACAGGTACACTAAAAACAAGATCACAAGGGGACTCCTATACATGTATACACATACAGACACACAAAGGTTGAACTTGATGGACCTGTGTCTTTATTCAACCTCAAATACTATGTATCTAATCCATCCATATCCTCTCTGTGAACAGCAGCAATATGAAGTCAGACACACAGCACACATTCCGCCTTCATATTCCTTGATGGGGCTCGGGAGCAGATGGCCGGGGAGATCCACCTGTGTGTCACTGGGCTAAGCCAGGATAAGCTGCAAGACGCCTCGGCCCACAACACCGACCAGAATGACTCCCCGAGAGGTTCTGCAGCCTTTGTGTCCCCTTTAGTGTATTCAGCAATGTGCAAAGTGCAGCAATGACTCCAGGATCATTCTCCAACAATGTATTGGGAGCCCTGTCATCAAGAATAGGGAGCCTGGAAATATTATATTATAGTGTATTACATTTCACACAGGGACAGCCATCATCACTTGTATGTACAACATCCTGTGTTGTGCATACGATTGTTGTACAGTGCTTAATAACACTCTGATCTCATTGTAATGTATTTTTTAATATAAGCAATATGAGTAGCCAGCGGTGTCTTGGTAGCAGCTTCTTGCAATCCCTGTACAGCAGAGCTTAGAGAGGAGGAGGGAGAAGCAGCACAACGAGCCAAAGCATTGTATTGCTGTACAAGTGCCACGCAAATGAGCTCTCCAGTTTGCAGTTTCCCTCTTTACTTTCCAGAGGAGGAGACTTGTAAGTGAAAGTAAAACTGCAACCGAGAAAGGTCAGGTCCCTTCCACTACTAGACAAGACTGCTCTATGTGGCAGACTGGTGTTGGATCCCTCTCTGTGATAAGGAAATATCTATATATATATGGGTTATATATAGCACAGCTGGAGAGCCAAGGTTGCCTACCCCCGGCATAGACATTGGCAATTGGGCTTCTGCCAATGTATGGCCAACTGACTGGCTCAATCAAACAGATGATCTAACCCAACATGTCCCCCAAGGTCACTGCGGACTAACAAGGAGCCGCCTGCGGAATCAGGAGAAGATAAAAGCAATATCGCCCCAAATATACGCACCCCCCATCTGTTTACCATCAAGGTGAACTGTCCTGAAATGTTCCCATCTCTTCCTGCCATACACGGAGAGATAGCTGTGTTGGAATCAATACGGATATTTCCAATCAGCAAGGTTAAGGACCTATTCACACCATAGCATTGCACTAAACAAGCGGGATCTGTGTGTATAGCACGCGCTATTGCACACTGCACGGTATCGCACGCTGGTGCATTGTGTTCATTCATTCTAAATGGTACCCCAATGCACCTTGTGGCATAAGTGTGTTGTATGGTATTGCAGCAACGTGCATTGCGTTTTCTGTCGGTGAGAAAAAATTAATGTATGCGCTAATTTCTAACACCGCACACAACACACTGCATGTTACAGTGTGTGGCACTGCAACAGGAGGTGGGTCAGGGTGCTATGGAAAACAAACGGCAACGCAAAGCACCAGTGTGCCTAGTGCAATACGCTATGGTGTGAATAGGCGCTTAATGCCAAGGGCAAGCAGAAAGCTTAAAGGGAACACTCTAAATTGCGTTGGATGGATACAGATAATAAACAGCCAATACTAAAACGGTAACTCAACGTCACAATTCAAAAACTCAACGTCACCTATATCTTGAGGGGTAAGGTCACACCACAGCGCATGTGTCGGCACATATGCATTGGTATGCGATGGTGATGTGAGCTGCAGATGCTTTATTGCATGCATGTGATGCAGTTTTGTTGTGGAGTGTTGTATTTTTTTTTACACATTGCCTTCTTTTAACCTGACTGTCACAAAACAAAACAATTATTATTATTATTATTACTCAGGATTTATATTGTGCCAACAGTTTGCGCCGCGCTTTGCAATATAAGACTTTCTTTGCCTTGGGACTTTATTGACCAACGCAGCCCAACGCATGTGGTGTGAACAAGCTCCAAGGGACTTTTCTGGAAGGCTCCATTCACATGTAGCGTTTGCGTTTCCTGCATGGCACGCAAACGCAATAATCTTTACAACTGCACGGACTCCGCTCGTATGCGGCTTTCACTTTAGCCGTGAATGTGCGGAATTCGCCACAAAATCGCGCTTGTACTATTTTGAGGGACGCACAGTTTCGTACCGAGCGGCCCCTGCAAAAGTCTGAAAAATGCACATTAAAGTGCATTGTTTTTTTTATCTTTAGAGCGGTTCCACATGTATTCCTATAGCCGAATACGCGTGGATAACCGCTCCTGTGTGGATGTAGCTGAAGGCTCCGTGCATTATCGTCTGTATAATTGTTGAACTTTAGAGCTTGGAACAGGAAGTCTGAGACTCC